CGTCTCACACGACCGAAGTCATCAAACCGGACGACCGGCAATCGTATTATGACGTATATAATTCCAACGTACGCCACGTAACCTCACTTTGCGTATCAGTGATTTGTGGATTTGCGCAACTATATTTTAGTTTTTGTTTTCTCCTTAAAAAAATGGGCAGCCACTTTTTTAAGCGTAATCTCACATGTCGGAGGAGGATGGAGCTAAAAAATGAAATTAAGATGCACCAGTGTAATACAGCATCTCTTCCGGATAAAAAGCATTTACGGGTGGAGGCAAGACATCACTACTACTATTATTATTTTGCAAAAACCTCGACCTCTTTCTGTAAAATGTAGATGAACGTCTAAATGCATTTTTAGTGTTTTTTTAGGCATAATAAAAAAATTAAGTTTGTTTACAAAAACTTTTTATTAGGTCATGTTCATGATGTTCATTAGGTCGCAAATGCTACTTAATGGTGTACGTCGTGCAAGCCAACGTGGGAACGACGTTGGGAAATTAATAAAAATGGTACGTTGTTATTTTGTACGTCGACAGATCGTTGTATTTACCGAGTATAGGCGGTATAACCTTATACAACCCTCAGACCTACCATCTTCTGGGGAAAAGGAGTAATAAAATACACCTAGCCGGCCGAGAACGTAGCACAAGGGAACTATCGTCGCAGTCCTCACTGTGCCATAGCCATCCCGTGCTACAGTTGCAGCCAAAACTGTGCGGCAGCGTAACCGCCACAGTTAAACCTTTTCACGCAGCTTACACACAGCAATGATGGAACATTCGAGTGGGACAAAATTATCGTCCGGAGGTAAAATACCCCTCAATCGGATCTCCGGGAGGGGGTGCCTACTCGAGCGTATCATCGGAGAAACAAAAAACATCAATGTTTCACGTTTGCGGCGTGGAACGTCCGCACTCTACTGGACAAGATAAATTCAAATCGACCAGAGAGAACAGCACTGGTCTCACAGGAACTCCACCGATTAAATATAGATGTTGCCGCTCTAAGCGAAACACGCTTTGCAGATGAAGGTAGTCTCACTGAGGAGCATTACACCTTCTTTTGGAAAGGTCATCCCGCAACACACAGGAGAATTCATGGTGTAGGCATTGCGATCAAAAACGAAATCGCCACCAAGTTAACAGAAGTACCTATTGGTGTCTCCGAACGTCTTATGACCCTAAGGTACCCCATATCAGACAAAACTTACGTCAACATCATTAGTGCCTACGCTCCCACCCTTGACGCTAAAATTGAAGATAAGGATAAATTTTACCAAGCTTTACAAAATGCCCTTCAACGAATTCCAAAGCACGAACGAATCATCTTGCTAGGCGACTTTAATGCCCGTGTAGGCAAACAACAGGAAATATGGCCTGACGTATTGGGAAAACATGGAATGGGAAACGCAAATAGCAATGGTGAACGCTTATTAACAACATGCGCAGAGTATAATCTTTGCATCACCAATACGTGGTTCATGTTGAAGGACAAGTTTAAAGGTACCTGGAAACATCCTAGATCAGGCCACTGGCATCAATTGGACCACATAATCGTTCGAAGGACGCATCTAAAAGATGTTAGGGCTCACAAAAGCTAGAGTAGATGCCGAATGCGGCACTGACCACCGACTTTTAATTTCAAAAATGAAAATCCAGTTAAAACCCAAACATCCACGCTGTAAAAAGCAAAACAACATGACCAGATTGAACGTACGGGGTCTAGAAAACAACAATACCGCCGACGCCCTCCGGGAAGCCATCAAAGAATCACTTCCACCGATAACTTCAATCTCAGTATTGGAAGCTGAACAAGGCTGGACACAATTAAGGGATGCGATTCATAAAACCAGCGAAGCAGTACTGGGAAAGTCGAACAAAAAGAAACAACCAGACTGGTTTGACGAAAATCAACCGCATATACAGGCTTTGTTGGAACAAAAGCATAGAGCATATCAAGCCGTCACTGCAAATCCACATAATCCAAGACTGGTAGACAACTTTAAAGTAGCCAACAACACGCTTCGAAGAGAACTGCGCCAAGTAAAGGATAACTGGTGGTCACAAAAAGCGAATCAGATTCAAGAGTACGCCACGCATCACGATTATCGTAAATTCTTCGAGGCTGTAAAAGAAGTATACGGCCCAACTAAGAAGGTAAGCTGCCCAATCATGGCTCAAAATGGCGAACTTCTAAAAGAGGAAGAACAAATTAGAAATCGCTGGAAAGAACATTACAGCCATATCCTTAACCAAGAAAACAACCCCAATATGGAAGCATTAAACACAATACCTCAGTATAACAGCCTCGATGTATTAGACATCCCAATAACAGAACAAGAAATAAAGACCTCCATAAAACAGCTTAAAAACAACAAATCAGCTGGCTGTGACGATATTCCGGCGGAAATCTATAAGTGTGCAAGTAAAGAACTTATTGGTCATCTTAAGGCTCTCTTTGATGTCGTATGGGAAAGCGGAGAGGTACCTCAGGATTTTCGCAATGCGAATATAGTGAATATATTTAAGAACAAAGGAAGTGCATCAGACTGCGGAAATTACCGGGAATTTCGCTATTGGCTATCGGCGGAAAAATTCTTGCAAAAATAATGTCAAACCGCCTGCACCCACATATAGAAAAAATTCTTCCAGAATCGCAAACGGGTTTTCGTACCAACCGCGGCACCGTCGATTCCATATTTTCCATCCGTCAACTACAGGAAAAAGTAAAGAGCAGCAGTCTAAACTTTATGTTGCATTCATCGATCTAACAAAGCCTTCGACTCTGTGAACAGAGATGCGCTTTGGGCAATTATGGAAAAGTTCGAAGTACCCAACAAATTTCTTACAGTGTGTAAAAGCCTCCATAACAACAACAAGTCAAGAGTGTCACATCATGGATCACTGAGCGACCCATTCCTAACAAATACAGGAGTTAGGCAGGGATGTGTCTTAGCGCCCCTCCTATTCAACATATTCATGGCAGCGCTCTCCATTATAGTGGACAGCAAACTGCAGGAGAGAGGATTGGGCATTAGATACAGATATGACGGCGGTCTGTTCAACATAAAAAGACTCAGGGCAAAAACACGTACAAAATTTATCACAGAACTTCAATACGCTGACGACTGCGCTCTAGTTGCAAACACGGTACAACAATTACAAGAAATGTTGAACACATATACCTGGGCATACGAGGCTTTGGGCCTTAAGCTGAACATCGGCAAAACTAAAATCATGTGCACTCCCCCGGAAGATCACAACAATGCTATAAAAATCGGAGAAGAACTATTCGAATATGTGGCGGAATTCAATTACCTTGGCAGTTTGATTTCGGAAAAGGCCAATATTGACTCTGAAATTCAGCACAGGATTAGTAGCGCCTCAAGAGCATTCTGGAAATTAAAAGACAGGGTTTTCTACAATCATGACTTGAGTACAAAAACAAAACTTGCAGTATACCGAGCAATTATAATCCCCACCATGATATATGGGAGCGAAACCTGGGTGCCTTACCGCCGACACATGAACGCATTGAACAAGTTGCAACAGAGACACCTTAGACAACTCTTAAGAGTCCGGTGGTTCCATCATGTCTCAAACGTATCGGTCCTTGAAAAATCTAACTGCGAGAGTATTGAAGTCATGGTCACAAAATCCCGCTTAAGATGGGCTGGTCACGTATGCAGAATGCAAGAAAACCGCATACCAAAATCTCTGCTTTACGGTGAGCTTGTGGACGGTAAGAGGAGGCCGGGTGGACAACTGAAAAGATACAAGGACATTTTCCACGAAAATTTAAAGGGAATTAACATGCAGAATGAGTGGGAAAAAGCAGCTCACAATAGAACTCAATGGAGAAGGGTTGTAAACTCAGTTAACAGCGGCAACCAAAAAGTAGAGAGGCAACAAAGCAATGAGATTTTTGAATGTCCGGAGTGCGGTAGGCAGATAACATCACGTATCGGGCTTTTCAGTCACAGAAAAGCTCATGAAAGAAAACGCCTTGCGTGACCATTTTCTTTATGTGTGTCGAATACTCGTCAGCGAGTAACGGCTGTATGTATGTATGTATTTACCGACTCGGATCCAACGACGTCGCTTTTAATAGGAAAGCGACGTCACAGGTCGCATCACCAGCACCCGACCTAAATTTGCACAAAGTCTGATGTCGCTTCAGGTCAGATTTAGTTCGAAGTCAGATAGATGCTACTTGGGTTGTGGAAAGAATAACCTATCATTCAAAAAAAAATCGTCCAAATCGGATAAGTGGTTTTGACAAAAACTAAACTTAAACTTTTGGTTATTTTTTTTGTGTTGCGTTAATTTATTGGGGAAGTGTAATAACACACGCGTGAGTTTTTGAAGTTATAACAAACTAGTGTGTTATAACTTCAAAGCCACACCATTTTATAGAAATTATTAAGCTTTATTCATGAATTACTAATTCAATTATTTATTTAAATTAACAATAACATTAAATGAAAATTATTTTTTTTGTAGATTCAGAAATTGTAAAACCTTGTATGCCTCCAGATGCTGTTCGTTCACTGCATGAAATAGACTCTGTCATTATAACGGCTCATTCTGGAACACTTACAGCACCTTGAATCTTTTTCGCAATCTCTATTTTATTGTGCTGGACTCTTCGATATATCCTTCCGCAACCGTTGCAGATCGCCATTCTCCGTGTCTTTTTAACGTTGTCATGTTCACTCCTGCATTTGTCAGTAATGTAGCGGATGATCTTCTCATACAATGGCTAGTGTATTGCTCAGGAAGTTCTAGGCCCAAGTACTTGCGGAAGATCTTCTGGAATCATTTGTCTTTAAAATCTGACTTGTTGGTTGATAATTCATTATTTTATCGTAAAAAAATCGCGATTTATCTAAATAACGTCTTAATGTCAGTGCTATTTATTATTTACAAAAAAAACTCAAATCTATTTTTGAAATTTAAAAAATTGTATATTAATGTATATTTCTTTTTTGTTTCAGATTTCTATCAATCAAGAAAAAGTTCCTGCATTCTCTCAGATAAAAATTCACAACCACAAGAATCCAGCAGTACCTCAAGCCAAAGCTGTTGAACCAGTACTCATCTAGATATTTTACCTCATACAACTCTAAAAGAGTACCCAAATAAGACTGTATATAGATAAAATTATAACATACGGCTTATAATGCCAAAGCCTTTAATTCCTTAATTTCTTAATTTATAAATAAATATTTATTAATTTTTCATTAAATAATGTTAACTTAAAGGTTTAGTTTTGTCATCGTTATTACCAAATATTTAGTTTTTTTTTTATTAAAAGAAAAACAATAAGAATTTTGTGAAATAGAAATAGCATTATTTGCTTATAGGAAGTTGAGAACGAAAATGTTATAGGCAATAAAATCTAGTCCTCTTTTTGTACATAGTTGTATAAAAAATTGTAAAATTTTGTATGTAGTTTAGGAGAAAAAATGTTTTGATATTAAAAAGTTTGAAATTTAATCTAGAATTTGTTTTTAATACACCTGTAGATATAAAGTAAATATTTTAAAAAAATATAGACCAATACTTTCGTTATTTAAAAAGCTAAAGGCTGAAAAAAGTTTAATTAAAGGAAAGATAATTTCTACAAAAAAAATCTATTTTTGTGTCAAAATAACATGAATAAAAAAACATAGAACTGTCACTGTCAGTTATTTTCTAATTGAAAAAACTATAAAGAATGTCCAACGGGTCAGACAAGATTTGACAGGCGGCATCCAAAAAATTACAGAAAATACAATTTATTTATGAATTAGAATAATAGACAACTGTAATAGAATTTTATAGATAACTGTCACTGTTATTAGGGTTTAGTTTTTGTACTATATGACGAAAAAAAAACGGCGTCAAAAACGGCAGAGGAATGACAAACGATGATAATTTTGGCGAGGTCATTTTCTAAAAATTTACATAAAACTATACTCAAAAATTAACACTAAATATACAAAGATTAAAAAGGGATAGAACGTTTCCAGACAAAAAACAAAAATTTCTTGAATTTTAAACTACACCATTTAAAAATTATATTTTTTACTCAATATAAAAATAAATTTCAATCTTTTTAGAGCTAGCTGGCAGTAAGTACCATTAAAAAATAAAGAGTAGATTGGACCAAATAACGACGTCTAGGGCTTGACCTCGTCAACATTATTATCGATTGTCATTCCCCAGCCGTCTTTGACGCCGTTTTTTTTTCGATTATACATTCATAAGAAAAAAACACTATTAAAATAATATTCTGATCTAAAGTTCATTATTCCTTATAAGGTGAATATGAATATTTTTATCTATTTAATGTTTTCTAACAAATATAACACATTTAGTGACTTATTCAATCTTTTTCTATATCTATATCTATATTTTTATGTATGGCTTATAAGGACATTCAACTTTGAACGTAAAAATTGTATTTTTTGGCAATTAGTATTCACGGTATCTTTCTATAAAGTTAGAGGTAATGTCGTTCCGTTTCCTGTAGTTATGAATAATTTATTGGGACTGAATATGACCAAAAAAAGTTCTAGAAAACAATGCTCATAATGATATGATTATTACATACATACATAATACAGTTAATGATACGATTGAAAATACATGAATATGCACCATTTATTACGTTTTACGTTAAATAATAGATACTCATAATTCTATTATTTCCATTTCACTAGTCCGAAAAAGTAGCAAAATAAGCGTTCGCCATTTAACGTTTTATGTAAAACTGGCTATGTATTTTTACACAAATATCCGTATTGTAGCACATTTTCAGACGACTTCTTTATTTTGATGGCCAAACATCAACAAAATATTTCTCGAAATAAATAAATAATATAAAATTCCGTAACAATACGGAAATAGATTGAATTTTTGTGATTACAGTGCTATATAACTTATATTGTTTTATAACAAATTTCTGGCTATTTCATGGCAAATGCTGAAGCTCTGCAAACCTTAATCAAGCCTTATTCAAAGCACGTGTGTTTGGAATTTTGGATGTGACTTAACACGATAGGATTGGGCTAAACCTGAGGCAGATTTCTGAAATATAATAAATTAAATATATACTAGCTTTTTCCCGCGACTACGTTCGCGTTACACCTCGAATCGTTCATAACTTAATTTAAATGATTGTTTATCTATAGATAGAGCTAGTGAGCCTTACAAAAATCCACTATTTAAACTATGATTTTAACAGTTTTATAGCTATTCGTATTTCATATGAAAGTTTGCAATTGTCGATTTCTGGGTATTATACAGGGCGAGTCTTGAATAAGTGCAAATATTATCAGGGCTGGTAGATCTCCAAAAAAAAACATATTTTCTTTTTACCGTTTTTCAAATAACATCAAAGTAATCGAGTTATTTTACTTTAAAAATTTTCAAAAAAATATTTTCTGCTTAAATTTTGAGAACCACTGGATCTTTTTGGGGTTTTCTGTCTGATAAATTTTATCTACTATCTATGTTGCCGTAATATCAATAAATTATGGATTTTAACTAAAAACTAAAAAAAGATCCAAAAAAATAATGGAGAAAAAAATCGTGTTGCTGGGGTCAAAATATACTACTGCTAAAAATATTTGCACTTATTTAAGACTCGCCCTGTATATCCTTTAAAAAAATCGATTTTGTTATTTTTGACTTATTACACATTTTTTACTTAAAATTTATAAAGAGGCATCAATAGGCCAATTTCTAGAGCATTTTTATTCTCTTTAAATATTATTATGTATTTAAAAAAATCCGAATGTTTTAGAACTCGAACCAAAATCGAATTTTTCCAAAACCTGAAAAAAAATCTCTCGAAAGTAATAAATAGTGAAATGACTATTACCCTCTATGGATAGAACCCTTATGGTCCCATGTAATCTGTATTACTAAAATAAATTGCTTTGACATATAAAGTTTTCAATTGAATATTTGAGGTTTTCAATTGTCGCTTTTCTTGATAGACTCCCCTGATTTATTATTATTTTTCAAAAGCATTAATATTCTCTTTATGCGTTATTTTTTATTCCTAGAAGGATAATTGAAGAAGAAATATTTCGTTATGATGTCACTAAATAAAACCTTGTATAAAATTTTATACTTCTAGATGTTATAGTAATGCATTTTCGTACAGCAAACTTCTATTCTACTCCCTAAGGGAATGAATTTCATAAATTTGCTATGTCCAGATAATTAACTCATGTGTTTTAAATGCTCCTTTGTGCAAATTTTTATGTGTATAATCCAGAGTTCACGAAGGTTTATATAAATCTTTACTAACTTTTGGTTGATACTCATTTGGTTAATGAATTTCAAAAATCTCTTCTAATTCTTTCTGTAGAATTTTATTCTTCTCGACCGATAGTAAGATAGTAAGTAGAGATAGTAAGGAATTTTTGCACTCTAACACTCTAAGAGGATGAATTTCCAAAAATCGCTTTGCGTAGCTAATTCAATAATCACTAATGTCATTTAAACGAACATTTGTGCTAATATTTATGTATCTAAAGCTGACGGTATTAACTGACCCCTATAATATCTAAAAACTTGATATATAATCTAACTCTTTGATCTAACTGACACCACTGACAATGACAAATAATTTATTTCTGAAGGTATTGTGTGTAGGTATTTTTTAGGTATGTTTTAGTATTTAGCCGTTTTACACAAAGAAATAGCAATTAAACAATATAAAAATACTTCATAACAAATCTAGACATATATACCTTTCATTTAAAAAAAGATTCATCAAGATTGGTTAAGCGGTTTCGGCGGGATGGATGTAACAAAAAAACCCTTTGAGCTTTTATATATGTATGGATTTCCTTCGGCCACACACCCGCTTTACCCGACCCCTTAGAGCGACCCGAACAGTACAGCCGGAATAGAGTTTCTTATATGTATATAATAAGTCTCTGATCTAATGAGTCTCAGTGAAGCAATGTAATCGATCCAGTATTAACACAGATGTATTCAAGAACGTGAGAACACCTTTTCAGTAAAAAATGTGATCAGTATATTCATACTTTACTTAAAGTAAAGCCTAGTTCTACTTCTGCTCATTTTGCCTCAACAATCAATACAAGCTGAAAAAATATACAAGTTAGATATTATGTCGCATAGGACTTTCAACCGAGAATTATCAAATATTTTTCTTGATTTAGGTAAGAACAATCTTCGGATTGTCAAGTGTTTTTAACAGGACACTGTCTCAATGAACACCTCAGTAGATTGAAGCTAAGAAACAACGATGAATGCAGATTCTGTGGGGAAAATGGGGAAACACCAGAACACCTCATCACTAAATGCACTGAGATGACAACCATTTCTCCCATAAACTTTGGTACGACCAATGACTAAAGAATCCAAGGACAAATAACACCTGAGAGCAAATTGTGACGATGTCACCAAACAGTGCCGTAGCACATATTTTTCTTAACCTAGCTGTTTGAAGCAATATTTATATTTTTTGATAATTGTTTTGACTACGCCTATGGTGTATCATCCTAATTAATTACGAAAAAAACGTATTAAAATGTTAACTAAAGGTACAAAACTAGTATCGACGCATAGCACATATCAAGTACATACAGATGTTAATTGAAATTGAAGAATAATTATCGAATTCAATAAGAAAACGCTAAAAAGTTGGAGTGGACTGTTTATTTACTTATGAAACGTAACTCCTGGCTCTTTTTTATCGCTGCTGTTTTTACACTTGAAAGCTGAACAACTAATCACCATTGTAATAAAGTTTCTACAAAGTTTACTACACACAAACTATTAAAAATCGCTAAAATTGTCGCTGGTGACCAAATGATGACCAAAGGTTTGCCACCAAAAGAAAGGTCTCTAAGGTCACAAATTCTGCTGCAGCCCGTATAGGGGCGTTACATGTCCTTATATTCTTTAGTCATTGGGTACGACTGATATCGCAGATGGAAACTAACTAACCTCTATAAAACCGTCTCAGATACTGGCTTTTGTCCAAGACCTGAGATTGTATGATAAGTTATAACTCGATAAAAAGGGACATAATAGATATGTAAGGTCGCGGTGATTAACACTCCACTTAATATGCTAATTCTAAATATTCCTCTTTAATTATTGACACCTTATTATTACGATTTTTGTGTTAACATCCTTATGTTAACACAAAAATCGTTTTTCATCTTTTTTATAATTAATCAATCTTACTACTTCAGTGAGACCAACAAACGAGGAAAAAAAATAAAAATATTCTCCAAAATTTCGAAAGAATATTTCTCAAAAATAAACCCAACCCAAACCCAAAAGTAATACTCTCGTATATTTTTGGCGCCAATTTTTTTTCAGTTTCCTTTAAATACC